CAGAGTGAATGAGACACACACTTGTATATACACATGCACATATGCATACATACTGTAAAGCAATGATGCACTCTGATACACTCCCATGACTACACTGACAAACAGAAGGAGAAATGAATCACAAATAACCCAAAGATGCATGCAAAACCTTCAATCCCACAAACACACACTCTCTCTTTCCAGCTCACCTCTCAGATCTCGCCCTTCTTTGATGCGCCTGACGCGCATCTTCAGCCTCATCTCGCTCTCGTGCATGTCTGTCCACAGCGGAGGAGGGATCACCAAGTCAACGGGCATCCAGGCGACACGCAGAAAACCTACACAATCCACTCGGAGCTCAGGTGAGCGCTAGTATCAGAGGTGGAGATGTTTCCTCTGAAGATAAGGGGATGAAAGGGCCTTTGTGTCTCAGCTGCCGCCGCAGCCGCGCTCTTTGCTCTCGTGTGTCTCTTCACTTCTGACTTTGGCTCGGCACACTCCTGCCTCTCTATTGTTGAGCCTCCTCCCTCTCGCTCGCTCGCTCCCTCCCCGTCTGTGAATGAGCGCACTGGCTGTGCTCTACTGGGGCCTGTGTTCAGTAATAGCTCATGTGTAAGGCATGCAACCACATTCCTGACTCATCAGACAACTATGCGGCCACTGTTGGGGCCAGAGCCGCGCGCGGAGGGAAGAGCGGCTCCTACGCCTGCCGGACAACATGTGTATGTGTGTGTTTGCAATCAACAAAGGAGCCCTAGTTGCTTTCGACTGACCTCTCTGCTTACTGTAGTCATCATCATTGCTTATGTAATGGCACATTATCACGCGCATGATCTGTGTCCTGTCACTGGGAAGTCCATGGGAAGTCCAAGTTGACTCACGGCTAGCACATCACACACGCTTCAACAGAAGAACAGTTTGTCCTGGAATCAATCAGCGTTAATCACGGATGACATCATTCATTAGTCATTAGCCATTAATCATGCATAATTATATCATGATGGGACAGAGCAAATACATCGTGCCGTTTTCTCTATGACAAATGGATATGTGAAACTACTTAAAATGCTAAAAGCTTCGTGAAACTGCAGCATTAAGATTAATTTTAGTGATATTTTGTGGGCAATAAAGGCTCATTGTCATATATTGGCCATTAATCATCCATGCTGGTATCATGATGCGAGAGATCGAATCCATTACATGTCCTTTTATCTGTGACAGATGCATGTAAACATACATAAAGTGCTAAAAACTTAGTTAAACTGCAGCATAAAAACGTCCATTTTCAATCAATATCACCTCATAATGTCAGTTTGGATGAATCTAATATATGTCCATTTCTCTGCGACAGATGCATATGCATAAATACCTAAAGAGCTACAAACTTTGTTAAACTGCAGAATAATGGTGCAGTCTAAAGTTAAAAGTAATGCATTACAATATCGTGTTACTCCCTTAAAATGTGACTAATTGCATTACTTAAGTTACTTTTCATGGAAAGTGCATTACGTTACTTTTGGTTAGGCTTACTTGTTTGTTTTAATATTAAAAAGTTCTATTTTTGGCAAATGTAAATGCCCTTTCACACCAAAAGTGAAATGAATAAGCCTCAGGCTGAAGGAAATGTAAATGTAAAGTCATTGTTGCTTATTAGTGTGGTTGAATTGGATCGTCAAAGGTCAGCAGCAAAGACATTGGTTAATAAAATGGGATTAAATACATAAAGGATATTTGTGTTATTTAACATATTTAATTATTGCATGTTTGTGTCATATTCTGAGTTTGCATTTGACTGTTTTTATTCATATTGAGGAATACTGAATCTCTTTTTGTGTAAGTGAGATGAGTAAATGAATGCTGACATTTAGTCTAGAACTACAGTATCATCATGTTCACAAACTGAAGCATACGGTCACATAGCTACATTTCAGCAAAGCTTTGCAAGTCAAAAAAAAGTCAGATGTCAATCAATGGCCATTAATCATCATCCATATACTGACATCATGATGGGATAGATTGAATCTACTGTGTGTCCTTGTCTACATGACAGATGCAGATGTAAACATACATAAAGTTCTAATACCTTTGGTAAACTGCAGCATAAATATGTGGTCACAATAGCAAATAAATTATGCCGTGAAATTTACGTGGTTTAAATCTTTAGACCTCACACAAAATTACCCTTCAATTGAAATGACTGGATTTTGCCCATGGGGATTCAACGGACAATATTTTGTTCAAAAGATATTTTGAAAAAGGCTTTATTTATTTGGGTTAATATAGGCTAATTCACATCAATGGGGTCCAAAGTGGTTTGGTTAATAACATTGTTCAACATATCTTCTTTTTTTGTTCCGCCTACAGGTTTGGAGTGACACGAGGGTGAGTAAATGATGACAGAATGCTCACTTTTGGCAGAACTGTCCCTTTAAATGTTGTGTGTTTGTTATATACCGAGATGCGGGTTCAACCTTGGCTTTTTCCATCTCCCTGTTGGCTGGCTGCAATGGTGCAGTGACATTTTTCAAGGTTGCTCAGGTTGCCAGATCAGTGAAACTGGAGAAAGCAAATTAGGACTTGGCGGGTTCATGTACCAGTTTTAATTGAGGGGCTTTTCGCTGACCGGCCTGCACGTTTCTGTTCATCCATAGTTGTGTGTGTGTGTGTGTGTGTTTGACCGCAGTGCTGTAAATAGGTGTGCGAGTAAGGTAGCTATTTTGGTACGTGGAGGTGTTTGAGGGAATATACTACATCTTTAATGCAGGAACAACGACACTGACTGCTGGAGGACTGCCAGGGATCTTAACGGAGCCTCTATAGACACATACACACACATGCTTTTGCATGCAATCATAAACTGATCTAAAAATGAGAAATATGATAATTGCCTGAATGTGTGCAGACTTGAGGGAACACAGGTGCTAATTCACACACACACACACACACACACACAGGCAAGCAATATGTGCTGCCCAGCAACAGAGGACAATAATAAAAAAATGTCACGTGATTTTTTTTCTTTGCAGAACTGAAGGTAGAAGCTGTGAGAACCACTAGATGGCAGTAGACTAACATAGCACAGTCTTCGTAGTGTTCTTCAGAATGGACACTTAGCTTACTGAATACTGAATACTGCACAGGACATGCTGTCTACCTTTTTTTCATAGTATGTGAAACAGAACATAGAAGCATTAATAACTGTTTCAAACAAAGAGGTCTAATATACCTGGAGAAAACTGCATTACTGGAGCATACACCTATGATCTTGATGCTGCCATCTTTGCTTCAGGGGCAGTTGTTTGAGCGAATCACCTGAGGTATAAATAACATCAGAAATATCACTGTTAAATGCAATCTTTATCAAATCTCAAAATGAATATCCATCTTCATACTGTATACACTGTTGTGGTGCCTAAATTCACTTTAAAACAATCAATTTGAGGGTTTAATTTTTCATTTTTATCAGTTATTTTATCAGTTGTCAGTCATAACAGTATTGGCCAGCATTAATATATATATATATATATATATATATATAGGCCAGCAATTTAATATCGGTCCATCCCTATTGTATATCTGTTACTTTGCATTTTTTGTCCAGTTTTTCTTTTTTTTTAATTCTTAAGATCAAGTAATGCAATAAAAGGCAGATTGTAGCTATATATATATATAAAAAAAATGTTTCATTCACCAAACCTGAAATGAAAGTTGCATTACATGCATTGTGCTCTATCATATACAAATGCAGTATGTAGGTCACTTTGAAACTTCATGCATACATATAATTTTTAGACACTGTGCATAGTTCAGATACTACTGTACAGTACATACAGAAGAAACAGTATGAGAAATATGCTAGTCTAAAATAGAGCTCTGATCAAACATATTCAGATCTATTAGTTCACTGCACAGCAAATGTACCCGTTTAACTCAAAGCAAGATCCTTCAGGTGGGATGATCGGATTTATTTCTCAGGAGATGTGGGAAGAAAAGGGTGGAAGTTTGAAGGGAAATAAATCACACATTCTTACACAGTGAGCTAACCTCATTTCATCTTCGCATGCCTTTGCCAAAGACGCAGATTTTACGCCACCCACCAGGTCTGATGAGGGGCTTTAGTTTAGTCTTCTAAAATATTACACGGATTTAGATCAGAATGTCTGCCGAGCGTCATAATTCCCAATACAGAGCGTGCAATTTTCAGAAAAAAAGTGTGTCCGATGCAAGAACATGTTTGAAGAAAATGTGTGTAAATCATTCAAGCAGCCTCTCATCTCTCACTCCCGATAAGGCCATGACACTCAGTAGCATCTCCTAATCTTTGCATGATATCAGCACACGCAATGCCGCATGGGTTTCTACACGTCCT